TCCCCAGCACTCCCATTCCCCCTCAGCTGCTGTCCCCAGTGTCCCCACTGTCCCCAGTGTCCCCAGTGTCCCCAGCAGGCAGAGGCAGGACAGGAGGTGGCTGCAGGGGGGGTTTTATTGCTGGGACTCGGTGCTGGCTCTGGGGGGACCGGGGTTGGGGGGGCTGCACCTTCTGGGCTTCTTCACCCACTCAGCCCCAGCGGTGTCCCTGAAACAAAAGGGGGGGGTCACGCAGGGTCCCCCAGCCCCGTGTCCCCTTCCCCACAGAGTCTCCCCAATCCCCTTGGTCCCACATCCCCCCCCCTGACACCCTCAGGGACTCCCCCCCCATCCCCCTGGTCCCACATCCCCCACCCTGACACCCTCAGGACCCCCTGAATTCCCCCCGCCCAGAGCCCCCCTGTCCCCCCAAGCTGTCCCTGCTGGGGACACTGAGACTGGGGGGAGCCATGGGGGGCTCCTCCCGCCCCCCAGCCCCTTACCTGGGGCTCAGCAGCCCGGGGCACCCAGGGGCTCCTGGCCCAGCACTCGCCCACCTGCCCGCTTCCCGTACCTGCAACGGGGACGCGTTACGGGGACACGGCCCCGGGTGACAGGGACACGCCCCGGGCTGGGGCTCAGCAGCCCGGGGCACCCAGGGGCTCCTGGCCCAGCGCTCGCCCACCTGCCCGCTTCCCGTACCTGCAACGGGGACGCGTTACGGGGACACGGCCCCGGGTGACAGGGACACGCCCCGGGTGACAGGGATGTGCCCCGGGTGACAGGGACACGCCCCGGGTGACAGGGACATGCCGCGGGAGCGCGTCCCCGTGGCGCTCACATTCTCTGAACAGACAGAGACATCGTTCTCTCTCCCAGGATTTGTCCTGGGGAAGAACTTCTCCAGGGGGAAGCTCAGAGGAGAAGAGAAAACGAATCTCATCCCTACTTGTGCTCCTGTTGTTTGGCACGCGCGGAATGCGTTATGGGGACTGTTCACCCGCAGTGATTTGTTAATTGGGTTTGGTGATGATTGTTTGGATTGATTGGCCAGTTGGGTCAAAGCTGTGTCGTGACAGGACAGTCACGGGGTTTTCTGTAGTATTTTTTAGTATAGTTTTTATATAATATCAGTGTAATATAATCTAGCTTAATCAAGCAGTTGTTCAGCCTGCTGAAATCATGGAGTCAGAGTCGTTCACAGCCTTGGGGTCGCCCTGCATGGAAAAATCCCGACAGGGAGAGGGGCACGACAGGGAGCGGGTGGTGATGGGGAGTGTGTGACAGGGAGCACCTCGTGATGGGGAGCGTGTCACGACAGGGAGCGTGTCACGACAGGGAGCGTGTCACGACAGGGAGCGTGTCACGACAGGGAGCGTGTCACGACAGGGAGTGGGTCCTGATGGGGAGCTTGTCCTGACAGGGAGCATGTCATGACAGGGAGAACATTGGGATGGGGAGCATGTCATGACAGGGAGCGGGTCCTGATGGAGACCTTGTCTCGACAGGGAGTATGTCACGACAGGGAGCATTCCACAACAGGGAGTGCATTGAGATGGGGAGTGTGTCATGACAGGGAGCGTGTCACGACAGGGAGTGCACTGAGATGGGGAGCACATCACGAAGGGAAGCACGCTGTGGTGGGAGCACGTCGGACTGGGGAGCACATCACGGTAGGGAGAGTGTCGCGATGGGGAGCACATCGCGATGGGGGGGGTGTATCGCGACAGGGA